GTGCTACTCCCTTTTATTCTATTGGCTTTTGAAAGCCAATAGAATAGACTCTCTTGAATAGAGTCTAATTCTATTGGCTTTCAAAAGCCAATAGGAATTGTCCAGGCTGTCTCTGCCCTGCTGAGTCCGCCAAAAGTCCCATTCTGCAAACGGTGCTGCACCAGTTGAGTAGTCAAAGACTACGACCTGTTGAGTAGTCCTCGACTTACGACCGGTTGGGGGTCGTGGCATTAAAAAGGTTGAGAACCACTGGTGTAGGCTCTCCTGCTTGAACAGGGGGTTGGACTTAAAGACTGCCAATGTCCCTTCCAATTCTGTTATTCATTCCTTTATATTTCTACCTCCTAAAAATAGGCTTGACGTTTGACTAGAAGAGACATTGCAGTTTACTTCTTATCTCTTTTTTTTTCTTATCTCTTAATCTTCTTTCCCTACATAATTAAGAGTTATATGTGTGTAAAGAATACTCAGACTCTACATTTATGTCTCTATATCTATAATGCCATGGCAAGTTGCAATTGGAGTGGGACAGTTCACTGTGGCCAATTCATTGTGGCCATCTCACAACAGCCAACTCAAGGCAACGGCTATCTCAATGCAGCCAACTCATTGTGGGACAAGTCGTCGTGGCCAACTTGCCACAGAAAATTCCATCTCAACACAATAAATGTTATCTGCTACTGCTTCTTTGACATAATTTCCATTTTTGTCAATGGAGATACTGTAAAAGAAACAGTAGCAGATAACATTTATCGCATTGAGTTAATGCCATGTGGAATTTCTATGGCAAGTCGTACTGCTGCAAGTTGGCCATGGCAAGTTGTGCTATGGTGAGTTGGCCATAGTGAAATGGCCATGGCGAATTGTCCTAGACCCAGTTGCAATAGGTAACAATAGCAATATCCATGTTTCTACAGCTTTCGCATTGGTGAACTCACTATTTTTCTGAGATCTTTTCCTGGAAGAGGAGAACTTGTATTAACAAGTCCTATATACTTCTATACTTTTCCTTTGTGGTTCCCTTACTTTCATATTTCAGAACAGCTACCTTAAATCACAACCTCTAACAACTAGGTTAATCATAGTAATTTCTTAGCCACTGCAATGCTCCTTTATTTCATACAAACCTTACCAGATTAAGAAAAATCATAGAATGATGGCAGATATCATATACTAAATGTCACTAAAATCCAATTTTTAAAATTTTTGGAAAAGATGATTAAATGGGAAAAATTGATAGAAGCAGGGGTATTGACTTAGGGACAACAGTGAGGATACATTATTAAAATACTCTCTGTTAAGTAATACATATTATATACCAGATTAACTCAGTGGCAATATTTATACTTACATATGTTAAGAACATTTTTAGATCAGTGGAATTTTCAGCTTCAGAAACATTTGAGATACTAGAGCAATTTGCTAAATCCATTAAAACTAAAAAAATACTATAAATTTCCATTGATAGTTGTTACCAATAAATAAATTTCATATGCAGATGCTAAGAAATGAGTGTAATAAAGAATTAGGGGTTGTTATAGTACCCAGACAATGGGAGAGTGTTTTAATTTTTATACCCACAATGTAGTATATACTGTATATATTATGACATACAACAAAAGATAGTATTTAGAATTTATTGGACTCTGTTACATATTTATAGAATTTTTATAGAAAAGGATTGTCAAAAACAGCATTTTGTTGGCGATGCAATAAGAGTAATGTTTCTTTAAAACACATGTTTTTACAATGTTTTACACTTATTAAATTTGAGGAGAAAGTATTGATTATACAAATATAATTATGTGACAAAAGCTAAATTCCTCAGCCAATAATATTCTGCTATATATCTAGTACTTGGAATTTACAATTAGACAACGCAAATGAATTCTACATTCCCTTATTATGCCTGAAATTCATTTATGTTGTCTAACTGTAAATTCCAAGTACTAGATATGTAGTAGAATATTATTGGCTGAGGAATTTAGCTTTTGTCACACAATTATATTTGTATAATCAATACTTTCTCCCCAAATTTTGCACATTGGAAAGATTAAATGTATGACCCTTTTCACTCAATGGGTTTAGGACCTGATTGCATTTGCCACCTATGAATGTATTGTCTATATCCCCAATCTATGACCTAGTGCCGGGCTGCAGCCCGTTTGGAATTGGGCTGCAGAAGTGGGTGAGCATGTGCAATGGTGCATTTGTTAAAGCAGAGCACGGGAAACCATCCCCTCTCTGTGCCCCGCCACCTCTGCTAGTCCACCAAGCCGGAAAGGGTGGAGACCATTGGTGAATAGACGTAGATTTTATATAGACGATTTAAATCTTAAAATTGTTTTTCTCCTGCTCTCTTTTGGGTCAGTGAATTTTTGATTCTTCTTTACTTTATGAAACTTTATTCACTCTTATGTTTCTGCTTGAGGTGAGTTGCCATGGTTCCTGCTTCAGCTCTTATAACACCTTTCTCTCCTTGTAAAACATCCTTGTCATCCACCATGCCTGTACAATAGCTTATACACTGCTTTTTGTTCTTTTGTTCTCAACTGTCTCTTTTAGAGGTGTCACCGCCATTCAACTACAACTTTTTCCAGTTTTGCCCCTTCTTTTCAAACCATCAGCTGAATATTCTCGTTTTGCAATTCAGTTTTCTTGAGTTCACTCTAAATGACTAAACCATTTAGCATGCTGCTTTTGTAATGACCATTTTGGCATTCTATCAACATTGATTCAGCATTCATTCACTCCTAAGCAGTAGCTCTCTCCTTTTTCATTCTACTACATGCACAGTTCCTGCTGCATTCAACTATTTCCTTTCGGGGAAGTAGGAAGGTTGGAGGAGAAGAGGAGAAGGAAGGAAAGAGAAGAGGAGAGGAAGAAGAGGGAAGTAGGGAAGAGAAGAAAGGGAGAAAGAAGGTAGAGAAGAAGGAGTGTGGATACAGTGAAAGGGGAAATGGGTGAGCAACACCAAAAGTCATGTGTATGTATTTATTTCATTTTATTAAAAGTATCTTATATATGAATGTAAAAAGAATGTATGTTAACATCTGATAAATATCACGGTATATGTATGGGGCAGAGCTTGGAAAAAAAATTATTAAAAAAAAAAAACTATTTCCTTTCGGGTACATGATCCTCACTTCCACATTATAAAATTTCAGTTCTTTGAACAATTACTGTGTGCAACAAGTCACATAATAACAAATACTTTTCTTCCAGCAGGCACAATACATAAAAATTTTTAGTAATATTTTTCCAATATGTAGGTAGTCCTCGACTTACTACTACATTGAGCCAAAAATTTCTGTTGCTAAGTGAGAAAGTTGTTAAGTGAGTTTTGCCCCATTTTGTGACCTATTTTGCCACAGTTGTTAAGTGAATCACTGCAGTGGTTAAGTTAATAACATGGTTGTTAATGAATCTGGCTTCCCCGTTTGCTTGTCAGAAGGTTGCAAATGGTGATCACATGACCCCAGGACACTGCAACAGTCATAAATACATGCCAGTTGCCAAGCATCTGAATGTTGATCCATGACCATGGGGATTCTGCAACAGTTGTAAGTGTGAAAAACAGTCCTAAGTCACTTTTTTGAATGCTGTTGTAACTTTGAGCAGTCACTAAATGAACTATTGTAAGTTGAGGACAACCTGTATCTATTTGCTAATTTTCTGGAACTTATATCTAACTTTCAACTGATTCTACCATGTTTCTGTCAAATGGTACAATTGATAAATTTACTGAAATTTACTGTATTTTGAAGTCCATATTTTGTTACATAATACAACCAAAGTCCACTACACCTGGGTTTTCTGCCAACAACAATGCATTATCTCCATAAAAGTACATGCAATTTGTATCTCCAATCAGCAGTTCCCTTGATGTAAGTCAAAAACTCCCCGTATTAATTTTAAGTATTACAATTACATTCTTAATAAAATTTATGTATAACTTTACTTTGTGACGTGGTACTTATTTATCTACTCACATTTGCATGCTTTTGAACTACTAGGTGGTCAAGGGCTAGGTGAAGACGGGTGCTCACCTTGTCACATGACACTTGAGTCTCAAATCTGGGTTGTCGGCTTTCCAGCTGGGAACCCAAGCATCTTAACCATCTGCAACGTCATGCTGACCACATCTTTTTAATGGTTTAATGGCCAATAGGGATCCATATCTTGCATATAATACAAAAGAAATGTTCTGTTTGCTATTTAAAACTGTGAATAGAAGGTCTTTTCCAAACATTTTTTGGGGGAAAATAAAACTATCATAGTTCTTGAAGAAAGCATGCGAAGTCCCTAGCTGATCAATACTTTCACAAGGATCAATCCTTGAGACAGAAAAGATGATGTAAGCTTTTCAGTTCATGTAAGCTTTTGAGTTCTCAGTTGGTGAGTTATCTAAAAAAAACATAGGGGAAGGAAAGATGGAATTTTATATATAGCCTTTGGCTATAGCCATGTTGACAGTGGCATTATACATCAATTAGGTTCTATGAGCCTAATTAATATATGTGACGTTGTGAAGAGAATTGGAGAAGAACTAGTTTCCTCCGCCTCTTCTGCTTTCTTGTTTCCCCCTCTTCCCTGTTTCCCCACATAGTTTTCTTTCTTCAGAGGAGTCTTATAATTAGTCTTCTGTGCTTGAGTCTTCAGGAAAAGGCCTACAGCCTCTGTAAAACTGGCAGCCAAATGGTATTTTCCAGCCTGGCGGAAAATGGCCGGTAAGGAGCCAATTCATGCCTTTGTCTGAGCAGCTGAGAGACTTGGCCACCAAGCAATTCCAAGGTATACAATAACACAGACCAGTCTTGTGCAAATGATGGAATGAGCTAGTGCCTGGAAATAATCTTTATAGACCAAGAGGTAGCAGTACTAGAAAGGAGGAGAGACCCCCGTATATGAAGAAATGGAATCAACAGCAACTGTGGACTTAATTTTAAGTTGGTTTTGGAGCATTGTTTTATGTTACCTCTGTTCTTTTCATCTGTTAGGTTCAGAGGGCTTCTTACTGTTAAGGAGAACAGTCTTCTAGCAACACAGTGGAAATTGGCTAAAGGAAAGATTGTGAAGGTATGTAACCACTTTTTATTTTGTTGTTGGTTTTCCCTTCTTCATCTACAGTGAGGAGCTCTGAGTGATTGCATGCCCACTGTTTGGGTGAGCAAAGCTGCCTTCTGTAGGTTTGTTGTGTACTACAGTTGTTTCCATTCATGGGATTACTGTATGAACACTGTTGGCTGGAAATTATTTTCTTATGCCTACAGTTTCGTAGCTTCTGCTTTCAAGTACCAATTGTCATTATTTTGCATATATACTGGGTGCATACAGATGGAATGGGACAATTGCCAGTGCCAGCTCACCTCAGCGAATTCACCACGGTCAAGTCAGCATGGCCAACTTGCTGCGGGACAACTTGCCACGGCCAACTTACCACAGTGAGACAACCTCACTATGGCACAATTCAACAATTTAAATTATTTAAAACAGGGCTCCCCAACCCCGGTATTGGGCCATGCATGCCAACAACCGGTCTGCACAAACAAGCAAAGCCCCATCCATGACAATAACTATTTTCAAAAGCATGCTGCCTTTTTCATGCACTTTTGGGAGGCTGCAGACACCACGTGAGAATGAGGTACACACATGTGCAGATTGTCTGAAAATGAATTTGTTTATTTATTTTACTTTAATTATTTGACATTTCTTTAGATATTTTTTTATATCATATCCAATATAATTGGGTTTTTCATTGTTGTAAGTTACCCAGAGTCACTGAGAGTGAGTTGAGCAGCCATATAAGTTTTCTTAAATACATAAATAAACATAATACATAGCACCACACACAGTTTGACTCTAATTATATTTTAAATAAATGAATATGTTTCTCTTTTGTTCAGAGGTAAGGTGACATGCCAGCAGAATCAGGTTAAGTGATCCAACTTTTTGACTCATTGAACCTAAAAAGTTTGCCAACACTGAGCTAGTTAGAAACAAAGAGGTATATTTAAAAAGTCAAGGTAATCCTTGATGTACGACCAAAATTGAGCCCAAAATTTCTGTTAAGTGAGACCTGTGTTAAGTGAGTTTTGCCCTGTTTTACGACTTTTCTTTCCATCATTGTTAAGTGAATCACTGTAGTTCTTAAGGTAGTAACATGGTTGTTTAATGAACTTGGCTTCCCCATTAACTTTGTCAGAAGGTCACATAAGGGGAATCACGCAACCCTGGGATACAGCAGCCGTCATAAATGTGAGCCAGTTGTCAAGCGTCCACATTTTGTTCACATGACCATGGGGATGCTACAGAGGTCATAAGGATGAGAAATAGTCATAAGTTTTTCAGGGCTGTGGTAACTTTGAATGGCCACTAACTGTTTTAAGTCGAGGACTTTGTAGCTTAGTTTTCTTATTTTATTTTTTAAGATTGTAAGGATTGAACTAAAATAAATATTAGCCTATTTATGTTTTTTTGGGAAGGTGACATGCCTTGTGGAGTTTTACCTAAACTATGGCTGGATTTGTATTTTAAACCATTTGGTATGGTTTCTTTGGTTTTGCCTAGGTCTGCAGTATTCAGCCAGCCATTGTACTGTGTAAACTATGGTTATCTAACCATTGGTGGTTTAATCAGTAAGCCATGGCCGAACACAATTAGTGAACCCAACATATGTATGAAGTCATTAGAGTTTATAGCTATACATTTTTCCAAATTTACCCAAATCAGTTTTCAGATATCAGTTTTTTTAAACAAATCAGATGTTATGTACCTGAGAATAATGTCCAAAATGCCATTACTTTATTTCCTCTCCAGATGTATTCCTTTCATCTAAATTCCAGTGAACTTGATAGGCAAGTTATTCTCTTTTGAAAAAAAATTTCAAAAGACAATAAGTGATGAGTGAAACATTCTATCATTCCCTTGCATGTATTTTTCCTTTGATTGACTCAACCACTTGCCAGTGTGTTTCATACTTGCTTAAGACTAAATTGAATTTAAACAAATGTGTCTGCATGCTTGGATCATTTCTGGATCCATATATACAGTATAATGCTAATATAAATTGACCCTAAAGGATTGGAAGAATAGTCCAATTGTAGTAATCTGGGAAGAAAAAAAACCTGGCTTCATTTTATAGGATGTTTCAAGGAATATACATTGTATAGGAAGGCTTATATCAAAGGATAATGTATCCATAACACAATGGGAGAAAAACCATTTAAAATCTCTTCATTGTGCAAGTGTTTTAGACTATCTATTTGGATAGCATGTCATTATGAAAGTAATCCTCGACTTACGAAAGCAGTTGAGCCCCAAATTTCTGTTGTTAAGTGAAAAAAATTGTTAAGTGAGTTTGCATCATTTTACAGCCTTTCTTGCCAAGTTGTTAAGTGAATCACTGCAGTTGATAAGTTAGTAACCGGGTTGTTAAGTGAATCTGGCTTTCCCATTGACTTTGCTTGTCAGAAGGTCACAAAAGGTGATCACATAGCAACTGTCATAAATATGAATCAGTTACCAAGCATCTGAATTTTGATCATATGATCATGGGCATGCTGCAAAGATCATAACTGAAAAATGGTCATTGGTTACTTTTTTCAGTGAGCAACTTTGAATGCTCACTAAATAAACTGTTGTTAAGTCGAAGACTACCTGTATATTGTATTTTTATTATTAAGTAGGAGTGAGACTCTTATGGGACTTTTTTCTCTTTTTTCTCAGATGTTAAATTAATAGACTGATTTTATTTATATGTACTGTCCCAAGGCCTAGCTGCATATAGAGAAAATGCACAGAAATGAAGCTAATGATCTTATTATACTCTGCATCATATGATGTATTTTTATCAGGTGAAAAGTTATATTGTACAATGGTTAAACATATGAGCAAATTGAACTATGTAAAGGTTGGCATAATTCTTGATGAAACAGATTTAAAAGTGAATGAATTTCATAGAAAAGTATGACTATTCACATTGTACTTGTCACGAAAAGACTCTTTTATCATCCCTGCATGGTTAAATCAGTGCATATACTGCTTGAATCTTTAGTTGGGCTCACTTGTAGCAATAGCCGTTTTTTGGGAGAGTCTCTTCCCACAATACTTGTCAGATCCAAGTGAATTAAAATAGTGAAAGAATCAAATCTCCTAACTTTTCTAAATAATCACTAGCAACTGATAAGCATTTGGGGATCTCATTTAAAAAAAACCTAAAGGTGAACTTTTAGAACCATATTTAAAAGTGAAAAAATGTGTAAACGTGAAACCTTTAATCTGAAGTTTAATTTTAAAGTATTTCCAAATGTGTATGAGAAGGTACAAGAAATATTCTGTTCATGAAGCATCCAACCCATACCAAAATCTGGAAGATAAAAATTGATGCCGCGAATACCCTTTGGAGACAGGCACTTTGATTTGTGAAGATGAATTGCCCCTTGAGAATAACCATCTCATTGAGCAGAGATCCAGTTATGTTTCTATATCCTTTATGGTCCAGATCAGATTACCATAAACCCTTATGTTTAAAAACTTCTTCCCCACCCTGAAGGTCAGCATATCTTTTGCTTAGTGCCAAAGCATTGAAGCAGGACCTGCTTTTGTTGAAGACTGAAATAAACCAGTGAGTTCTGGTTATTTATTACATATCCCCCTGCTTCCAGAAGTGTAAAGTATAAAGTATGACTTTTAATTAACAAGCACATTGTCTCTGTGCTTTGACGTGGAAAATTACATATCAGTTTCTGTACTGGTTAGCTGACTATGCCATCATTCCCGGTGACAATGCATAATCACTCTCTTCGTTTTCCATCATCTGTTTTTTGGCTTTTCACACTACTTTGTTAATTAGCAAACTGTAACAAATGACCAGAGTTGATTGTGTGCAAGAAGTAACCATATTCCATCACATGCTATTGAGCTGCAATCATTTGCCAGCCCATTGATGTTTGCTAATCTTTTGAAATGTGATTTCCATGTTTATATTCTGCTGGTAAATCAAATTTGGCAAGTCAAATACATTGGCAAAGTCAAATAAGTTGGAGAAGCAAAGCGACCTGAATTCTGTTGCAAGCTTTTGAAGGCTGCTTCACTTTGAAATGAGATTTCGTTATAATGGAAAAATCTGGCTAATTATTAATAGGAAGACTTTGAGGAATTGTGGTTTATAACTCTTTCTCAGTGCCAACTTAAGAAATGTAGTAGCTACTAATATTTAGCTACTAAATCCCTAAGATAGGGAAGGGCAAGGAAGAAAAATGGAAGTACAAGCACGTGGAGAATTAAAAGAAAGTATTTAGGTGGAGTTGACATCATTCTTAAGTTTGTGTTAATTAAATATGAGAAAATTAATCAAATATAATACACTGAAGGTCTAGAGGATACTTAGAACTATTGGTTGTAGATTATACTAGAGCAAACTTACTGCCTTATAGATGACCTAAGATTCCTATATATATTTTTGGAGGTAAGGACATGTTCCCTTGGCAGCTAAATGGACAAAACTTGGCATTTATTTGGGGAATGGTTTGTCTTTGCCTTCTTCCTAGGGCTAAGAGAAAGTGCTTCGCCCAAAATCATTGAGTTGGTTTTCATTCTTAAGGCAGGACTAGATCTCACAATCCCCCCACTTTTAGTACACTACCTTTAACCATTAAGTGAAACTGGCTGATCTTTTTCTTTTTTAAATATTTCTGAGAAATAAAGTCCAAACACATCAGAAAGTTTCCAGGTGTAGATTAGGTAGAATTCATCAATAGGAAGGTTGGAGAATCTGTAATAATATGTGGGAATGACCTTGAAAGGTGCTTCCTTCTAAGACAGGTGTTAAACTGCTGGGCCACCGGCCGGATGCGTCATGGCGAAACTGCGCCCACCCCATTGCAAGCAACGGAAAAAAAAGTTGTGATATGTCGCGACACGTCATGTGATGTTGCAAGTTTGACAACCCTATTCTAAGAGGTGCTGTCTAGGGAGATAGCATAGGCCAGGGGTCGCCAACCTGTGTGCCCAATGGTAGCAGGCTGTGGCCTGCTGGCCACCAGGCTGTGGGACAGGCTAGTCAGTGTGCATGCATGTGCGCACACACACTCTCACTTGTGCTAGCGCCGTGGCTGCGGGGCACAAAAACAGGATGCCATGGATTGGGGCACAAAAATTGGTCGCTGCTGTGCCTTGGGGAGTGAAAATGGGCGCCGCCACACCAGAAGGCGTGAAAATAGGCCACTGCTGCACTGCAAGGCATAAAAATGGTCACCGCCACGCTGTGGAGCATAGAAACAAGGCTAGTGAGTATCACGCGGGCGCTAGCCCCATCCCACTTGCAGCACGCATGTGTTTGCTGCGCCATGTGCACGCACGCACACATGTAAAATGCTTCCCCCTCCCTTTTCCTACGGTCTGCCAACCAACAAAGTTTGGTGACCTCTGGCATAGGCCACAGGTAGATAGTGGGAGGGGCAAAAGCTCAGGAGACACTTCCCTAATTTCTCAGGGTGTAAAGGAGACAGGGAAAATTGGAATTTCAGACTTGCAAGAATCTGTTAACGTGGCCTTACAATAAAGTAGAATTAACTTATCTGGTGCTGTTTCCTGTCTAATCTGCCTGATCAAGCTGATAGAATCTTTCTACTGGTCAGCCAGCGAGTCCCACACTGCTTCAAGAATGATAACAGTAAAAGTCTGTAATCCCTTAATTTTTAACCATAAATTTCAAAGTCATTGTTTTAAAAACAGAACCAAGTTCAGTTAATCTCCTGTAATAGAATCTTATACAACATCACTAAGAAAGTGATGTCTGCTGTCTCTTATAGCTAAACAAGGATATAAGTTGTAACATACTACCCACCCTTATCATAGTTTCGGAAGCAAGGAATGAGCCGAGGTGGCGCAGCAGTTAGAGTGCAGTACTGCAGGCCACTTTAGCTGACTGTGTTTAGCAGGTCAGCGGTTCAAATCTCACCGGCTCAAGGTTGACTCAGCCTTCCATCCTTCTGGGGTAGGTAAAATGAGGACCCAGATTGTTGGGGGCAATGTAAATATATATATACATTGCTTACTGGTGTACACCGCTTAGAGAGTGCTTGCACTTAAAAGCGGTATATAAGTCTCATAAATAAATAAATAAATAAATAAATAAGGAAGCTGTTTATTTTTGGCATATTTTCTCTGTTCTCGAATTTAGCCTGCTTCCTAGTCTACCCCAATTGCTTCTAAGAGGGTACTAATAGTGACTCAGAAATCCAAGTTGTCAGCAGAAGTCTGATCCAAGTGCTGATAATTCAGATCCTTTACATCTTGATCCTACAAACTTTGATAGAGACCCCCGAATAAGCTTTATGGACTTTAAACTTCTTTTTATTCTAAGTCAGTTTCTAAATCTTCCTTGCAAGGTGCTATAATTTTAAAGAGAAAGTTTTGGGTGTCCTCTAGATATGTTGTATTACATATCTGAGAAGTGTTTTGCTCCCTGGGAATTGTGAGTTAAACACAATTACAAAGACATCATATAGGTCAGTGTTTCTCAACCATGGGAACTTTAAGGTATGTGGACTTCAACTCCCAAAATTCCCAAGATTGGGAAACAGTGACATACGTTTATGGTTGAAAGCAAAATTTAAGACCAAATCAGTGATATTTGAACTTCTTTTTTATAATCACCCACATTACGTATGTTTAGGCAGCCTATTTGTGACTTAAATAAATTGTAAATACACCACCTAGTGGCTGGAATTAGATAAGTAAAATAATTAAAAGGTACAGATTTGATAATAGAAGTCTTGTCCATGCGGTCTTGGCTTTTTACTCTCTATATAACATTCTGTACTTAGAAGTTTGAAATGAATATTGCATATATTTGAATATTGCATATATTGGAGTGGATGACAAATGTGTTTGAAATAACATTATTTTAGTTCTTAATGCATATAATCAACATACCAATTATTTTAAGATGGTGGAGATTTTGCTTTTTAACTCCACATTTTATGTTTATTTTTCTGAATTGTGATATCTTCATCACAAGCTTATGTGAAATTAAGATGCTTATCATTGCAAAAATAAGCTTCTGAATCAATATGGTTCAGAATTTTCCAATAGCAAAGTATAATTAAACCTTTATATTCTTTGTACGCTGGCTCTTTTTTATGGCGATTTGGGGTTGGGTATTCATTATAATGTCTTCCACAAATTGAATTAATGATACATTTAGATATTTTGTTGTTATGCCTTGGAAATAATGAGGTTTCTGGATGCAGTTTTTTCAAAGATACATTTCTAAAAGGAGATGATGCCAATACAGTGACAGTATTCTTTATCTCATTGTCTGTGTCTTTATAAAAAAAAATCAAAGTTGATTGTTTTCCTTTAAGTAAATATTAATGGCTAATTTATTTTTTTATGTTTCATTGGCATCCTTCAGTCTCGAGAGACTATGGTATCGTGCTCTGGAAAGAGGTCCTAAGGCAGCATCTGGTGTGGCTAAAAAGGCCAATTTGAGAATGGCAGTCCCTTCCACACTGAGGGCAGATACAATCTGTCCTCTGTCCAGTCCCCAAATTTTGCTGGTTCTGGGACTGCCTCTTTGCCTCAGCCTGCTGCACAAGTGTCTCTTCAAATTGGAGAAGGCCATGTTGTCTCTTGCAGATATCCTTATATTGCAGCTCAGGTCTCCCTCTGGGGCGCTTTTCCTGCACTAGTTCTCCATACAAGAAAATGCCTTGTGGCTATTTTTTATGTAGTGCTATAGGAAAACAAGCCCCATTTTATCCATTGTCCAGGCTCGCTCCACTTTTAAAATTAACTAGACATTCTGTAACCCACTGGGTTATTCTTTCCATAAATGTTACCTTTTCATCCTCAGGAGAGTCCCAGGGAAACCTCTATCTCCCTCCACCTTGACTGACCGATGGAAGTATCTACCAAGGTAAGGGGGAACAAAAGGAGTGGTAGACCATGAGTAAAACTGTACCCCTCCATCCTATTCTGGTGTGTCCCCAAGGGTTCCCTCTTCTAGAGAGATAGAAGACTCATCTGTTGCCGGTGGTTCCCAGCCAGCCACTCCCTTGTTCTTCCCTCATTGACCACTGCTGGTAAGAGATTAGAAATTTCATCCTCAGATCTAAAGCAGCTAATGTTCACTTATCCATTTAGATGTGGGGACCAGAGGGAGATGGAAAAGGCTACAAAAGATACACCCCTTCCATCTCCCCTTGCGTTATGCATCCTATGGACTTTGGGGGAGTGTAGTCAGAAGGAATGGTGATATTGAAGCAGGCCCAACTCCCTCAAATTTAATTCCCATGGGAGTCACAGGTCCTGGCATTCTGTAAGTTAGCCCATTACCTTGATTCAATCATTGTTGCCCTATAACTGCCAATTTTGCCCACCCGAAGGTTACTAACAAATAGATATGAGAGTTTTAGTAGTATACAGATGTAATTCAAGTTGTGTAATCCAGAAAATGTACACAAGACTGATTTTGTTTCAAATCATAAGCAGAACTGCAGGACAGGCAATTTTTAATCATGAAAGTTTATTTTGATATTAGTAACAGTTAAATATTGGGTCTTTTAAAAATGCCATTTTACTTGTAAATTATATTTGAATAATAAAGTAAGTTCTGCTACATTTCCAATATCAAAAATTCCTGAAGATAATCCTTGGGAAAAGTGTATTAAGTTGTTCTGTGTCTCTACCCCTGCCCTAGTTTCTATGGAATTCTGACTTCCATTCGGTGATTTTTTTAACCATCCTTTGCATGTATGTATTTATGTATATATGTTCCATTGTCAAAATTCTGTTAGAAACATTAATTTCAATCCTGCTTATATTTTGGCTTCCACATAGCATTGACAAGATCAACATATTTAATGTCTTGGAAGCTGATCCCTGAACTAAATATGTGACTGCATGAAGGGCAGTCAGTGTCATGAGAGTAATGTCAGTGGGGAATAGGGTGGAGGATTCATCATGTGTGAATGATTCTCATATATTGAGTACTTCTTAAAAAGAGCCCTGGTGGCTTAGTGCTTAGAATGCAATACTGTGGGCTAACTCTGCCCACACTCTGGAGTTCGATTCTGACAGACTCAATGTTGACTCATATTTCCATCATTCTGAAGTGGGTAAAATGCAGACCCAGATTGTTGGGGGCAATGTGCTGACTTTGTAAGCCATTTAGAGAGTGCTGTAAAGCACCATGGGGCGGTATATGAGTCTTAAGTGATATTGCAATTGCTTATGCCAGACTTACTATTTACATAATCAAATATATTATGAGCTTTGATTTATTTAGCACTGGGGAAAAGGCTACATCAAGAACTGTAAATTTCTCTGCAACTTCCATATGATATGCTGCCCTTTCAGTTTAATGTAAAAACAAATTCTTCAGTGTCAAATATTGAGCCATGATTTAATAGTTGCATATCAGACTATTAAAGAACAGCACCTTTATGCTAGCTTTTTTGATATATGTAAGAAGTTCAGACACATTCCCATTGATACCTTTCTTATTTGTAACTAAGTATTTCATATTTGAAAAAATGGCCAATTAAATTTTACTGAGTAAACATTGCCAATTTACTGGCTTCCAGCTTGTCTCTTTCAATTGCTGTATTGAGATTTTGAGGTGTAATATTTATTTGTTTGATCACATTCTTTAAAAAATAAAAATGTGATTCTTCAACTAACTACTCATGCAGGGGAAAAAAAAATAGGAAGGATAATTAGCCTTGTGGATACCTGGCAAAATTTGGGCAGCAGTAGAGGATTCCTTTACTTTCTATTGGAATCTCCTGACTATAGTATTTTTTCTTTCTCCTGGCTAGTATAACCTGTTCAGGCAACCTTTTCAACTATGCAAGCAGTGACCAGAATAGCAGTCTTCTAGTCTTTTCTTAAGTTTGTTTCTCACTGTGTATTTCAGCTACATCACATTTGTAAATTTTCCCATTTCCCAACTGCTAAAAGTTTGCCTCACATAAATGATACTGTTATCATTACAGTGTCCTGCCTAATTAAGAATGGTAAAAGTCAAAACCATTAAAAAACAAAAATTAGAATATTTCGGACATGTGATACATCACCCAGAAAAATATGGCATACTCCATTTAATCCTCCAGGGAAAGATTGAAGGCAAACGAGATCCAGGCAGAAGAAGAACATCGTGGTTTCAAAATCTAAGGGACTGGTTTGGACAAAACTCAGCAGCACTTTTTTGTGCGGCTGCTGATAAAAACAGGATCGCCAACATGATTGCCAACGTCTGATAATGGATATGGCAAAAGAAGAAGAAGGAGGAGGAAGAGGAGGAGGAGGAGGAAGAGGAAGAGGAGGAGTTTATTTACAGTCCAAGACCGATCATGAATGATATATCAAATACAGCAAATAAAACACATATTGAAAAGTTCTGAGACAGTCCTGAAACAATTGGTAATATAAATAAGGCATCAAATGGCTTCTAGAAGCCATAGCTACTATATTGTTAAGTATATCGAAGTATATGAAAATTGGTCCGAAAGAAGGTGAATGCTCACCTCATAGTCATATAAGGAACCATGTTTTCTGATAATGATCAATCCCTTGTTATCTTCTGGGTCCTCAGGAGTCCAGAGAAAAGGTCTTAGTGCAATTCTAATCGAAAGAGAATCAATCCGTTTATCAGCTAATTCTCTAAATCCTTATAATGCTTTTACAACCAAACTTAATCATCATTCAAAATTATTTTGACAGGTGGTCAGGTTCTGTTCCTTTTTCTTGATTGCTCCCTTGGACTTCAAACTTGCATCTTGTCCTTCAATTTTTTATGGTTACCTTAAGATGATCCTTTTGCCTTGCTGTGAGTTTTGCAACTTTGATCCTCAATTGTTTGACATGGTGCTGGAATGTTAGTCTCATCATAACCATGTATTTTGCGTACATTTTCATGTTGTTACCGATCTAGACTTTGAACATCTGTAGTGTTTAACAGATAGGACTTCCCAACCTGGTTGCCATCTAAATACATGGACTTTACCCACAGAATTCTCAGGCCCAGCAGGGCTATTGCTGAGAATTGTAAGGTATTAAGTATAAATCTTTATTAAAAGATGGAGTATGATAAAGGGTTTAAGTACAGGTAGTTCTCAACTTACAACCATCACTGAGCCCAAAATTTATGTTGCTAAGTGAGAAATTTGTTAAGTGAGTTTTGCTCCATTTTACGACTTTTCTCAACGGTAGTTTAAGTGAATCTGGTTTCCCCTTTGACACCAAAGGGGATCACATAACTCTGGGACACTGCAACCATCATAAATATGAGTCAATTGTCAAGCATCCAAATGTAAATCAATGACCATGGGGATGCTGCAAAAATCATAAGTGTGAAAAAACAGTCATAAGGCATTTTTTTCAGTGCAGTTGTAACTTCAAATGGTCACTAAATGTACTGTTGCAAATGGAGGACTGCCTGTATTTAAATATGTGAATATTCCCAGAAATAATAAAGATGCCTGCGTAGAATGACTTTCAAAACTGGGTGGTTTAAAGCAGCAGGCAGAGAAAAGGGAACCAAGAATAAATGTCCTTTTATAAAACATATTACTTAGTTTAGAAAACCTATATCCAAATCCGTAAGAAACATTAAGTCTGTTCATAGCTGTTCGCTAAGGTTTTCCTTTCTTAGGAAGAAGTATTGTGTTGAGAATAAGTGATTTCTCAATATAGGTAGTACTGAATTCTTTTCTACTTTCTTGAATAAAGCTATTAAACCATTCTCAGTATATATAGTGCTTTTAGTTTTCAGGGATATAAGGTCTATGCCAATAAATACATTTGAAAATATTCTAAAATTCTATGCCACTTACAAATGCTGATGTGTTTAGCACATAATCATACACAGTTGTTAATACACGGGGGCAGGAAAGGCTTAAGCTGCAGTTGGAACTGGAACTTAGATACTTTGAACTTTCAAAAGTACAAGATATATTTTTTCTGCTTGTCTGCCAGTGGCTATTTATACTGGAAGTGCAATATAGTATTCTTGTTTTAAAATCAAGACTATCATAAATCAGACAGTAATAAATGAACCTAATACTTAAAGACTAAATCAGTCTCTTGGTAGTTCACATACTTGGTAATATGCTATTCAGAAGAATGATAAAACAACACCACAATTTATGATCCCCCCCACACAAACTATTTTCTGTTTCACTGTAGAAACCAACAAAGGTTGAAAGCGTTTGGTTGGGAAGGTGGTCCAAGTGAACCTTTTATGAAGATGAAAACATTCATTATGTTACATGTGTCTTGACTTCTAGAAAAATTCCTGTAGAGGAATCCCAGTGAGACAAATGGAATTATTCTATTGTGCTGTTTGATTTTTGCATTAAAGTTTAGTGCTTCATCTACCTCAATTATTATAATTCAGGGGAGTAGTGACATTTATAATAGGCATTTTGGTTAATAGTGATTATATAAAATGGTACTAGTAAAACACTTAAATAGCTGTTCTATTACTGTATCTTGACTGAAAAACAGTTTTTAGTAAGTGCCGGAAACTTAGTTTTTCTGTTTTACATTATATGATAAAAAAAATAAAATTAGAGTCCAAGATTTTGCTTCACTGTACAATAGATTATCTGGAAGCCTGTGAATAAGATATGTTGTGATATTGATAGGGAACATTTTTCATGTCTTAGAGCAGTGGTTCTCAACCTGTGGGTTGGGACTCCATTTAGGGTCGAACGACCATTTCATGGGGGTCGCCAAATAACGCAGTCCATCATTTTTTTCTCCTTTTCCTTAGCTGTGCTACTCCCTCTTACTCTATTGGCTTTTGAAAGCCAATAGAATAAACTCTCTTGAATAGAGTCTAATTCTATTGGCTTTCAAAAGCCAATAGGAATTGTCCAGGCTGTCTCTGTCCTGCTGAGCCCGCCAAAAGTC